CCCTTCTGCTTCATTGCATTAAATATATCTTGCCATTCCCTTCTGGTCTGTAAGGTTTCTGCTGAGAAGTCAGATGATAGCCTGATGGGTTTTCCTTTGTATGTGATCTTATTTCTCTCTATGGCTGCTTTTAGTAGTCTGTCCTTATCCTTGATCTTTGCCATTCTAATTATTATATGTCTTGGTGTTGTCCTTCTTGGGTCCCTTGTGTTGGGAGATCTGTGTACCTCCATGGCCTGAGAGACTCTCTCCTTCCTCAGATGGGGGAAATTTTTGGCAATTACTTCCTCAAAGATACTTTCTATCTATTTTACTCTCTCTTCTTCTTCTGGTGCCCCTATAATATGAATACTGTTGCATTTGGATTGATCACACAGTTCTCTCAACATTCTTTCATTCTTAGAGATCCTTTTTTCTCTCTGTGCCTCAGCATCTTTGTATTCCTCTTCCCTGATTTCTATTTCATTTATCATCTCCTCCACCATATCTAATCTGCTTGTAATACCCTCCATTGTGTTGTTCAAAAATTTGATCTCTGTCCTAAATTTATTCCTGAGTTCTTGAATATTTTTCTGTACCTCCATGAGCATGGTAAGAATTTTATTTTGAAATCTCTTTCAGGAAGATTCATGATTTTATTTGAATCTTTCTCAGGTGTATTCATAATTTTGCTTTGAACCCGGTTCCTTTGACATTTCATAATTTGTCTGTGGTGCCCTCTAGTTCCCAGAAGCTCCACTTTCTGATGCTGCTCAGCCCCTGGAGCAATGTTGGGGGTCGCAGGAGAGTGGTGCTGGTGCTTGAGGGGAGGAAAGAGCTATTTCCTGCTTTCCGGCTGCTATGCATGTTCCACTGCCAGAACCAGTGGGCCGAACACACAGATGTAAGCCTCTATGCTTTGTGTTTGTAGCTGCTGTAGGCAGGGCTTCCCTCTGGTTGGCCTGACACCAGGGCAGGGGTTGCAGGTTTGTGAGCCTGAGCCAGGTACAGGCCAGCTAGGAGGGAGACACAGCAGGCTTGCATATCATGGTGGGGTGCCTTGGAGCTCTGTAGCCAGCCAGGGCGATGAAACACCTGAAGATTGTTTAAGCTCCCAATCTGCTGGGCAGAGTGCACCCAGACAATTTTGTCTACCGGTCCTTTCTCCTGAGCAGTAACCTCTGTGCAATCCTTGCTCCTTTAGCAGCCCTCTCACTTTTAGGAAGTCTCTCAGACTGCTCACCCAGATCAGCCAGATATGAATCCCTGTTTTCCACAAGCAGCTGGAATCTCAGTCTCTCTGGGTATTATTTATCTTTCCAACCACACTAAATCACCAGAGCACCATGCAATGTAGGTTCATGCTCCCAGAGCAGATCTCCAGAGCTAGGTGTTCAGCAGTCCCAGGCCTCCACTCCCTCCCCACTCTGTTTCTCTTTCTCCTGCTGGTGAGCTGGGGTGGGGGAATGGGGGAAGGGTTTTGGTCCCGCTGGGTCACAGCTTTGGTATGTTACCCTGTTCGTGAGGTCTGCTCTTTTCTCCAGGTGTATGCAGTCTGGTGCAGCCTTCTTTCCTGTTGCTCCTTCAGAATTAGTTATATTAAACTATATTTTCACATTATATGTGGTTTTAGGAGGAGGTCTCTGTCTCACCTCTCACACCACCCTCTTTAATCCAATCCGCGAGGAGAGACTTTAAACCCTTTTCTATTAAATATTGGACCAAGACAAGAAGTCCTATATTCACTGTTACTATTTAACATAAAGTTAGAGATCCTAGCAAATGCTATAGAAAAGGAAAACAAATAAGAAATGTAAGCATTGTTATAACGGAAGTCATAAAAAACCCAGTGACATCTATTTCAGTGTGTTCTCTTGGCCCTCAAGCAGAGCAGCCTGGAAGTGCTGCCTCAGGGAGCAGCCCTTGGCCAAGGACGGATGGTGCTTAGAGGAAACCCACCCCCAACCCCATTTCCTTGCCTGGGCTGACTCTGTGGTGTGTTGCATTCTGATCCCCAGAATTACCCAGTGGGATTGAGCCCCATTTGGCCACCCTAGTAATCAGCTCCAATGCACAACCTGTACTGGCTCCATGCTTCTCCTGTCTTCATTCCCTACTCCCTGCTGATGCCTCTTGGCATCACCTCCCAAATAAACTACCTGCACTCAAATCCTTATCCTTTCCTCTAGGGGAACCAACCTAAGAACACTGCCAAATACTTTTCCTGTGATCACTGAGACCATGTGATTTTCTTCTTTACTTTGTCAATACCATATCTTACATTAATAGCTCTTCTGATGTAGAACCATTCTTTTATTCTTGGATAAGACTTTCTTGGGCATGATGTTTTTATTCACCTCTGGTTTCACCTCACTGTATTTTATTTTGCCCCCACCTCATTTATAAATTATGTTAGCTTACAGTTTTCTTTGACTATCCTAATCTAGTTGTAATAAAACTCATAAAATAAGTAGATTTCCTCTTTTTCTCTCTTCTTAAAAATTTATATAAATGGAGATATTACTTATAAAACCACATAACCTGATGTCTTTCAGTGGGGGTGGGCTTTTAATTTCTGATACTTTATCGGTTATTAGTTTAGGCCTTTTATTTCTTACTGAAGTTATGTGTTGTTTATATATAATTTGCCATTTATATATCATTTTTATATCATTTGTATTTTCTTATGATTACTTGTTTCATGTAAATTAAAATTTATTCAAATAAATTTGTTTAAAACATCATTTGACGATTTCAAAATTTCTATAGCAACTAGAATTATGTCCCTTTTTTCATTTTAATTGTCTCTGGTGGATATTTTTCTTTTCTCCTACCAGTCTTATCTGTTAGTTATATCAGAGATGTAGCTTTGGTTTTGTTGAATCTGTTTTCTTACAGTTTTCTTGAAGAATAATTCACATATTATAAAATTCACCCATTTAAAGCATACAATTCAGGGATTTTTAATGTTTGCTGAGTTGTGACATCGTCACCATAATCCAGTTTTGGAACATTTTCATCACTTCAGTAAAATTCCTATGTCCACTAATCCCACGTCACACTCAGCCCTTTGGCAACAATTAATCTACTTCCTATCTCTATGTATTTTCCATTTCCTATAAATGGAATCATATGTGGTCTCTTGTGTCTGGGGGAAAACCTTTCCATTTTTGTTTCTCATTTCATTTTCTGGAGTAAACACAGAGCCAGTCAGAGGCCTGGGAGGCTTGGCACCAGCCTGGGTAAGAGCTGGGCCTCTGACCCCGAGTCCCCGTTGGAACTACAGCTTCTAGGAAATAAGAGTCTCCACCTCCCAATGGGGAAATCTTCCACTTTGTCCCCTCACCCCTTCACAGAGTTGGTCACATGGACTGAAACTAATGAGAGACCTGACTTCCAGCTTGTTCTGGGAGGTTAATATGCACTCAATGAGAGTACAGTCTTGTGCTGCATTTCCTTCTTTCCATGAAGAAGACCTGCTACAATTACAACCACTCAGAAAGGTGTGGGGACCTTCAAACCATCTGGCAATCTTTATGCAGGGCACAAACCTTTGCACAGACCCTCACCAGCATCCCAGGCTTCTGTAGCTGGCTTTCCAAACGTAGAACTACAATTTGTGTTTGCATGCTGCTCAAGAAGGGGTGAAAACATTTCGAGGCGCACGGTCTCTGGTGGGGTGGGGACACGGAGTGTGACATTTGTTGAGCCTCAACTTGACTATGAAGGAGAGTTACCATAATAAGCTTTGCAGTCTGCCCACCCCTCAGCACTCTGTTTGGAACTGTTAACCTAAAAATTAAGACAGCCAGTTATTTTACCAGCAAGTCGGGTTTACTCAGAAAGAGCAGAGAATTGCAGTTTGGGACATGTGAGCTATGGGAAAACCTAGGCAAGTCTGACAAAGGAGAGAAATGTTATTTTGTGGAGAATAATGAGGACCTTGGGAGGGGTTGTTTTGGAAAGCACCTTGGAGAAAAGTGAGAATTCAGGGTGATGATGATTTCTCATTGGCTGAGTTGCAGGGACGGTGGATTTCTTGTGAGAGATGTAACTACATCTCTATTTGGTCCTGTAATCAGATGATTTTTTTCCTGTTGAGGATTCTTCTCGTCGGGTCTGTCTGTATGAACAATTCTTTCTGTAATTGATGTGCCTGTGGCAGGGCTCCTCCTAGCCTCCCCACTCTATAGAACCCCCTAGTAGATTTAATTAAAAGTGTAACTGCAAGTAACAGTGGCAATGAAGTGAATCAAACAGCCAGGATTAAGGATAATGGTAAAAAAGACTCCTTTTCTTTCTGTAATGCGTTCATTTTTAAAAATTTGGGAAGTTAAGAATAAGAACGTTTTTACTTAATATGCAAATATTCTGAAACTCAGTCAGGAAGCGTGTTATAAGTTAGTCCCGAAGGAGCTCTTTCTCCCAGCCCTCTAATCCTGGCAGGCTTCTGGATGGCGGCAGGGGAGAGCCCCTGGGAAACAGGAAACCAGCCGGGGAGTCCTGGCCTCCAGGGACTGACCGCGGCCGCCAGGGGCGCAGCGTTTTGCGCGCTAGGAGGCAGCACCTCACGGGAGAATCCGGCGTGGATCCGCCGGCAGGATCTGTAGTCTGGAGCTGGTGTCCTCGTCTGCTGGGCATCCTCACCTGAAAAGTGGGCGCGAGCAGAGCAGCTTCGCGGTGTATTTGCGGGGGCTGATTCCACGATTAACGCAGGTCCTCTTTCCTGACCTTTGGGCAACAATCAGTGGGCGCTCGCGCAAAGCCAGTTCATTTGCCCTCTCGCTCCCACAGAAACTTTGGGAGCCGCGCAGCACGGCTAGTCTTCCAGATCCGGGACGGTCCCGCCGAGGGGAGTCCCCTAAACTTTTTGAAAGCCCAGCCCTTGGTTCGCGTGCGCGCGGCGCGAGGGTGGGGGACTACAGTTTCCAGAGTGCCCTGCGGCGACGGGCGGAGCCGGGGAGCACCCGCAGCCAATTAGGGGGTCTCCGGGTGCTGCCGGAGAGCTGCAGGTGGAGCCGGGCTGTGGGCGGGCGCGGGGCCAAGTCCCCGGAACGCGTCCCGGGGCTGCGCGAGCGGGGTAGGCAGTAGGGAGGCGGCCCCGGGGACGGGGCTGAACCGGGGCGGGGACCGCAGCCGCCTGCGCGGTTCCGGGTGCTCCCGCCGCGCGCAGCCCAGGGCGCACTTGACCGGGGGGTGGGCTGCGGGGAAGGGCGGGTCTGGGGAGAATCCCGGAGCGCCGCGGCGCCCTCCAGCCCCTCCTCCTCACTGTCGCTGGAACTGCAGCCCGAGCCCGAGCCGGCGCCACCTCGCTCCCGGGCTCGCGCTCCCCCAGCCATGGCTTTAGCCAATTTCCGCCGCATCCTGCGCCTGTCTACCTTCGAGAAGAGAAAGTCCCGGGAATATGAGCACGTCCGCCGGGACCTGGACCCCAACGAGGTGTGGGAGATCATGGGCGAGCTGGGTGACGGTGCCTTCGGCAAGGTTTACAAGGTGAGGGCGCTAAGAGTGGGTGGCTCGGGAGCGGCGCCGGAAGGGGCGCTGGCCCGGATCAGCCCCGGCTACCGCTCGGAAGGGCGCAGAGGGACTGTGCGGACCCTAACTCAGGGTCCCGGGCTTCCGTGCTGGTGACCCTTGTTCTTTGGGGGGACCTCTGCTGAGTCCCTGCGCGCTGGGCGTCTCCTCTGGGCACGGCTGCTGCCCGCGAGCTGTTTCTGAGCACTTCCTGTGCGCCGGGCACCGCGCTCGGCGCCGCAGGGGGAGACAAAGGGGTGCTTATACGACCGTACAATCCGAGACGAGGCATCCTCCGTAAAACTGTGATAGTAGGCATACTTTTTAAAAAAGGCCAGACTGATACTGTGAGATTCCGAGGTAACCGAGACAGAGAAACTTGACTGGGGCTGGAAGTGTTGGGACCGGTGGAGTTGGGGACACACCTGCATATAAGCCAGATACAGGAAAGGGGGCGTGTTTTGTTGAGTGAGAAGTTGTGCTTGGAATGGTAGGCTGGGGCAGAGTTGAGGGGTGGGTGTCAGGGATTCGTGAATACCGCGCTGCAGGGCATATTTGATTGTGTTGGTGAGTCACAGCTGAGGAGTCTCCCCGTTTGTAGACACCTTTCCCCTAGGAGTAAGGGGGCAGAGAACTTTTGTGGAGGGGCTGGTGAGGCAGAGCTGATTAATTCTAGACACGTTTGCACCAGGTCTTTGTCTGGTTCCTGCTCCTTTGAACACATTCAAAATCTCTGAGTGGTTTTGGGTACCCTTACAACTTCGGGCTTGACTCCACCCTTTCCCTGATTTCCTTTCCCAGAGGCAACTGTTTGCTGAGACAATCCCACGTGTTCAGTTGGTGTGTACCTCCAGGAGGGAACCTCCTTAAGCCACCATCAACCTCTTGGGGGTTCCTGTGTTTTGTAGACCGTTCTGACCTCAGGACTGACTGTTTCCAAGGCTGAACCACAGAGAGGGCTTCTCTAGGCCCACCTGGTTAGGACTTGCCTTGAAAGTGGTCTAGAGCCTAGTTCCCAAGGTGTGGCCCCTGGAGGAGCTGAGTTAGCATCACCTGGAGTTAGCATCACCTGGGAGCTGTTAGAATGCAGAACCTAAGGCCCCACCCAGACCTACTGAAGTAGAGCCTGCAGTTTAACAAGATCCTCAGGTGATTGCCAAGCACATTAACTTCGAAAAGTGGTGCACTGGAAACAATTTTGAAGTCAACTGGGCCAATCTGGGTGCTAGTTCTGTTACCTTACCACCTCCCCCCTGAGCCTGTACTTCCTGTTACAGGGTGGAGTCCCCACTGGAGCAGAGGTCCTATGGTTGGAGACTCGATTTTCTGTGTCACGTAAACATGTGGCTCTCTGGCTGCCTTCATTTGCTGCCTTTATCTGCATGGGGGTTCTGTGTATTTGAGGGCAGCCAGCACATTCTTTTCGTTATCCTTCTCAGACCCGCATCTTCCTCCTAGGGGCACCAGGAAACTGTCCTCAGCCTTGCAGTTCCCCATGGACACCCTGCTATTGTCCTTGCCTGTCCAGGACAAAGCCCGTTCTTTCAGATGTGCTATGACCACCGTGAGTGCAGCTGGACCCTTGGTCAGCTCACCACATCCTCCACTCTCTCCAGAAGGCTGGGTGGTGTTTTTGGTGCATACCATTGGCTCTTACTGATGTATTTTCCTCTTAGGGGCTGGCTTTCAGATGCAGCCATGTTCCTTGCCCCAGTGTACTGGCTTCATGTGGCGCATTTTCTTTCAGACTTACATGCAAATCTCTACTTTCATGCTGGTAAGATTGATTTCCCCTTGTCAGTTTTGGTGGTGGTTTCCGCCTGCTTTAGCCCTGTGAAGCTCCCCTGCAATTCTGTCAGTGTCATACAAAGGAGCTCCTCTGATTCACAGGGTGTTTGGCCTCCTGTTTCTCCAGAGCAGGTGAACCTTTTTTAAGTGAGTCTGGTTCTCCTGGCTGTGAGCTGGCTGATACACTGGAGAATTTATTACATTGTCTGCCAGGGCTTAGTGTGTGAATCTCTGACCTAACTCAGCCTCACATTCTGTGCCAGGATACTGGGCTTCAGTTTAACACCTTCCTTAGTTGCTAGGTGAGGAAGATCCACCCTGGATCAGAGATCCCTCCCTCCCGCTCCTCTGGCCCTGGAGAAGTGCTGCTTACGCAACCCCTTAAAGCAGGATCACTCTACTGAAGACTTCTTCATTAGGCTCCTCACTCCTTCCGTCATCCTTGTCCCCTGACATGGCCACCACGGCAGCACAGGCCAGAAGGTCCATCTGGGTGTTCTGGCTGGGACCAGACCTGCCATTCTGACAGGGTGCCTGCAGAACCAGTTGGCTGTGAGCTGGGGAAGTGGTGGCCAGGGCCATCCCTTCTCCCTGTCTTAGAACTAGCAGGTTTTTCTCCTGACATGTGGTGAACGCCTTCCTGAGGACCTCCCTGGCATGCAAAGCCTTAGAAATCCCATTGTCCAGAGAGGACTCCAATTACAGATTTCCTGATGAGAGTCTTGCAGAGGCTCCAAGCCTGAACATTAGCATTCTCAAGCTACATGGAGCCCCTTTTCCCTCTTCTCCCTGATAAGCCATCAGTCGGCCTCAGGAGAAGAGGAGGGGGGTAGGATTGATTTTGGGCAAAGTCAAGTTCATTCTCACCTAATCCTTATGATTGCAAATCGACTTCAAAAGTAAATAATTTCTAGTTCATTACCAGCTACAAAGTAAAGGTCACAAGCTATGTGGTTTCAAAATTCTTGTCCTTAAAAATCTTTATTTTGAAGACAAGGTAGAAAGGGGAGGAAGTGTTGATATGTTGAGTAGAAAAAAGCTGCCTGCAGCAGGGTGTGTTTGCCATCATAGCCGCAGGTCAAACAGTACTTGTGTGTGAACACAGGCTGAGGACAGGCAGAGTAACTGTTTGTGGGCGGAGATTTTTCTGCTTCTTGAAAATTGCTTTGGTTTTGATCTTATGTGGTCTTGAAGCTTTTAAAGGGTTTATCATTTTGCAAAATTGGGAGTATACATACAGATTTTTCTTTAATGAAAGAGAAAAATTCCCCTAAGTGTTATCAATTGCTGTTGACATTTTGATATATTTCCTTTCACACTTTGTCAATTTTTATAGTAAAAAAAAATTTTCAGTCAGGGTTGTAATTATACATAACTACCTACAGTGTTTTATGCCTTCTTTCCATTCCTAAAGTCTCTTCCTGTATTGTTCTAAATGCTTTACACCTTCTGGGATGGCTCAGTGCCCCCTTGATTTTAATCTTACTAGACATTGAAGTAAGTTTCTCTTTTTAAAAAAAATCATTAACAAGTTAAAGTTGATTAAATGCTTATCATGTGCCTGGTGCTATGCTAAGCACTTTACATAATACAGCCAGTTCTGCTGTCATGTCAATATGCATTCCTAAAAATCCCCAAACTGTGCAAAATCATGCAATAAAAAACCAGAGGCCTTATGAGAAAAATGGGGCTTGGGGCACAGCACTTAACAACGTAGGAGGATATTTTTAACAAAAGATAGGCACCAAAAGAAAAGACACCAGAAGACACCAAAAGGCAACCAAAGAAAAGGCCAGGAGCAAAGTTTTACACAAGTTCTGTGGATAAGAAATACAAGGATATTATAATAAGTCTGGCACTGTACCACACCATGAAAAAGACCTGCAGGGTGCTTGTGGCCATGGCTGTGGGGAGGGTTGTGGCTTGTGAAGCAGGGAAAGGAGGGTTTTCTGAAATCAGGTGGAAAGTTGGAGCCCAGATGTGGATGGGTGTGGCTCTGAGGCAGCTGACAGATGTTTGAGGAGTGTGCTGGTGTGATGATACTCCTTTGCTGTGGGGTTCAGCTGGGTGCAGTTTTCTTATTCACCTAGTATTCCTGGCAGACGACACTGCCCATAAGCAAACACAAATTTAGTGTTTTGATAACCTTGTTCCCTGACATAACCATGATATTGGGACAAAATTGGTGTTTTCAAAGTAAATGTTATAGCAAAGCTGACTGTACGTTGATGAATAACTTTGCTGGCAAAGTTCTCTTTGTATTATTTTTTTTTTAGGCTAGTCTCTCAGAAGGGAATTACTGGGTTGAAGGGTGTGCCTATTTAAGAGTGACTTTTATAGAAAATAAGCTTAGTTAATAGAAGCCTCCTTTGCCCCTTGCTCTTGTCAAGGGCCAATCCCCAATCCCAGAGTCCTCTGGGACCCCACAGGAGCCCCAGGCCTGAGAAGCGGCTGCCCTCCACTGGGGACCTCAGGTGCCCTTTGGCCCAGACAGGCATTGTTAAGCAGCATCCTTCAAGTGCCACATCCTGCCCTGCCAGCCCAGTTTAGACAAAGCAGGGGTTCATGAGGTAAGAGCCTGACATCAGGCCTTCCTCCCCGTCCCCTCCCAGGGCAGGGCCCTTCTCCTTTTCACCTCCTCTCCTGCCTGATAGTTTCAGATCCTGGCTTTCCGCTTCCTCCCCTCTCGCCTCCCCTCCTCCTCCGGAAAGAGATCTGCCCCAGGCAGTAACCTTATTTCCGCTCAGCCTCTTGTCTTTGAATAGAAGTCCATGCTGTTGTGAGTGGGCTCCCAACTCGGTCCTAAAGGCCAGGTGGCCCAGCTTCTTGGGGATGTCACCCCATCCAGGCTGCCCTGGCCTCCTGAGGTCACCCACACTGGGGAAATTCCCAGGGGCTGCCACCCTGCAGGCCCCAGAGATAGCCCTGGATGGTCACGCAAGCCCAACTGCTGCTGAGGGCAGTGGAACAGGGTGGTTAAAGGAAGAAATTTGGGACTCAGTCGGCTCTGGGTTTCAACTCTGAGCACGTGACCTCCCACGCTGAGCCTCAGGCTCTTGTCTGTAAAATGGAGGTGATAACTTGGAGGGTAATGGAGGGCTGAGAGGAGCTAAGGACTTTGATACATTTAGCACCTGATTCCCCCACAGGAAGTGGGACGTCTTTATTGTTTATGGTCTTGGTATCAAACA